TATATATATATATCTTATCAAGGGTATGAATTGTTGTTCGACGCAATGCAATTACCAAAGCTAATAGCCTACTAAATTATCGGATATAACATCAGGAACAAAAATTTCAAATCGACCCAGCTTTGTTCTACAAAACAATTTCAGTTGACAAGCTTTACCGATAAACTAGGTACGTAATAAAACTAGTTAGATAGTGGGTGAAAAGCGGACTGATTGCGGTACAGCGACTGTTTACATCCAAACAACCGCGGATTGCTACCCCAAATTATCACCATTCGGATCTATAGGCACGTCAGGTTTATCTGATTTGTGTGTTACGTGCCTCTAACAAGTTTAATGAAGTTACAGGGAATCAATACGAACTAATTGGAATGACTAAGTAGTACGTATAGTGTGATGTGTGTTTAAGATTGTTCACAAGAACTATCTCCGTTGTAAAAATTTTGCTGGTTGTAAAATGGTATAATCTCGAGTACCTACAAATACCGTTGATATCTATGTTCAACTTACTTATTTATAAAAACAAGTGGTAAAGGTCTGAATGATGGCCCCCACCCCCGAAGGAGGTGGGGGATCGAAAGAGGAGGTCTCCCCCACCACTGTACCATAAAAAGTTCGTGGCGGTCTGACCCCCATAAAAAGTTATGGCGGTTCAAGTTTAATAACTATGCCAATTTTTATACATTTCTAGGCATGTAAATATTTATATAGTCATTCTTAAACAATATTCAAAGGTAAAACTAATGAAAAATACATAAAAATATTGAGAAAGTTATATAAAACATTATTTAAATATCTTTATCAATAGGGTAGGTTAGGTTAGGTTAGGTTATCGGGTTTTGTTCAAGTGACCACCCTCTTTCGATCCCCCACCTCCACCCGCTTGAAAATAATTTTTTTATTGAATTTTATTTGAATTATAGTGTATGAAAATTGTCAAAATAATCAACTTTCAACCCCCATAACTTTTTATGGGGGTGTGACCGCCACGAACTTTTTATGGTACACTGGTGGGGAAGATCTCCTCTTTCGATCCCATTCACCCCCACTCCCTCTAGACATTTACCAAACAAGTTTCTTTTTGCATGGCGCAAGTATGACGCCACACCAGTGTAGATTTTAAGCTTAATAATATATACAAGACGTATTAAGTTCCATGATTACTACCTAATACTAGCGTATCCCACTCCGGACTTCACCGAGTGGCATGGCCTAGAGGTTTAGGCCATTGCTTAGCATTCAGGAGGACGCCGGTCCGATTCCGCGTCTGTCTGCCTTGGTCCAAATTTTTTCTGTGGTTTTATTGAATCATTTGGAAAATGCTAGTCAGTAATATTCCACAGATAGATTATCTTTCATTATCTTATGCCCGAACCACTAGTCACCCATTCTCACGATTCCAGAAAGGAGGCCCTACATTCCGGCGTAATGCGAAAGGACTGCCCGTCCACCAGCATTAGTGGCATTAGGAATAAAACACCTGCTTTTTTTTTTACCCGCATTATATTGCCACCTATGACTCATGACTTCAGGCTTGTGATAAATTCGATCTCTTTTGAATGCACAGCGGCCTAATTTTGCATTGAGCAAAGCCTTTTTGTTTTGGTTGGGTGAAGTCAAATGTTTGTGATTTTAAATTTTACTAAGTGTACGTATATCTGGTTAAGTTAACGTAAACGTTTGAAAAAATTAAACTTTGTTTAAGTACTAAAGTTTGCAAGTAGTTTGGTAAGTTTGACAGTCCAGCATGTACCTCTAGTTCTAACAACAGTTAATTAGGGTAGTTACAGAACTTGCTTGTTCAAATAACTTTCTCGACGTATATAGTTCTATAGGGGTGCTGCTTGTTACTCTTAACTGACCTAGTCGTAGCTAAAGTAGTAAAATAAATTTAGCTTCCTAACGGTTAGACACTTTTTCAATTGTTTATTTACACTGCAGAAAGTTTTAGGATGGAATGTTTCAGCAAGCAGACAATATTTAAGCACAAAACAGAAATGCTTCAAGAATATAAGAAGATTGGTTAGACATATCCTGAGCTAATCTTCGCATTTCCCTAAAACTACAACATCTCACATCCTTAACTACTTGCAAACAGTAATCTAATCTAGGTCTACCTCTACTCCATTTAAGTCCTTTTTCTGTCTCTACTATGTTTCTGCCTGAGAAGGTGTCTTACAGTCCATTTCAATTTGCTAGAATTGTAACCTTGAAAAAAACTGCGCGAACTTAGAAAGAATACACACTAGGCGTGAGCAAGACAGAAATAGTTGGAACGAGCTTGAACGAGCAGAGCTCGCGATGGGCAGTCTTAGGAAATCGGCTAGAACTGTACAGTACTAGACGAAAATGTTTAGCAATTTCTTAAAACAAAAATGTATATAAATTAACAATAGAAAACAAAGCAAAAGTTTTATAGGTGTGTAGAACGTTAAGTTAATTCACTTGTTATTATTTTTGGCTAAATATGCTTTTAAATAAAGCATATTCTTAAATTTTAACGAGGCAGTTTAAATAATTTTGCAAATGGCACTGTACACTTTTGTCTAGTTCTCGCTCGATGATCGATGGGGAAATGAGCTCCGCAGACAAATATGATTGAATTTGGAATTATGCTACGGCGCATCCTAATAAAGGGAAGGGGCATATCTCTAACTTCTTGAAACGAACAGTACTAACCTATTTCGTCCATTTCTTGTTGACTTCGATAGAGTCCTTTGTTCTCCTATTCTCACTATATATATTCCTATACTTTCCTGTACAATTCTATCTATGATTTTTAGCGCATTTAGGCTTATTGTTCTAAATTTCTTGCATCATTCCGCGTTTCTTTTTTTTGGTGTGGCTACTGCCACAATCCGTTTATAGTCCTCCCGTCTCGTATATGCTATTAACTAGTCTAATCTCTTTTATCATTATAGGATATCATAGCTCTCTCATCTTCCAAGGCTTCAGAAAGCCTAAAATTAAATAAGAAAGATTGTATCTCTCGCCAATATAACACAACAAAGCGTCCAATTTTAGATAAAATGCTAAATTCGTTCAGCCGATTTCTACAGTTATCTTCTTTTTGTTTCAGCCAGAATTGTGCTTCCGCCCACATCTGTAAACAGAGTGAGCAGAACTTTCTTCAATAGTAATTGTTTAAGGAATTGAAACAAAAGAGATGTCGGAACGCTGCCGCTCGTATACGACATTGAGAGACGCGAATAACAATAACACATACACAACTACAGTGCAAAGTGCCAGTCAGCACAAGAACAAATCATCGGATAACAAGACGTGTGTACAAGTGACTGCTAAAGTCCTGTTCGGATCCGTTCAGGCTATTTCCAGACTCAAACACGACGAGAGAATGTCAAGGGAAAACAAAAGAATATAAAAACTTGTAAGTACCTGAGTAACTTTTTCTTCAGATTACTTCTGTTTTCACTGCTAATGTAAGATACAGAAATGGAAAAGGTGCCTTGGTTAGAGGAGAAAAGGTAATAGAAATGGGACTATTATTGACATTTTTCCCAAACTTTTAAATAGTCTTGTTTGAAGGTGACACGTTGAGACATAAAGAAGACGGTTATTTCTAAAATTTTCATGAGAAATTTCTATCGTAGCGTTAAGAAATTTTTTCAAATATTTTGCGTCGACAGTTTATAATTCTAAGAAATAACTCAAAAGGGGGCATATTGTTAAGAAAATTTAAAGTAATTAAAGGGTTAAAAGTAACAGATACAACCCTGAACCTGATTAATCGTTTTACTTCTTCACTTCAGGTCTACCTAGAATAATTAAATAGTAAAATTTACAAAACTTACTACACATACTAAAACCCCAGGTGATTGAAACCCGAAAATAATAATACAGAATACCCAGAAATATATCAATTGTATTGTAGAAAACCCAGGAAAAAACACCCCACTCTTTTAGGATAATAAACAAAGTATTTTTCGTATACTTCACTGTATATGAAGGGAGTGCAAAAATGTTTCTTCATCAGTTCTCTTTCTGGATCATCAATCTATCTCCTATTGGTCATATTAGTTGCAATTGGAGGACGTATAACATTCAATATGACTTTGTGGTCAAAAGTCTTTGGGCACAAGGTCAAAAATAAAAAGTTTCTGAGTTATGAATTAAAGTATTAACTCTGGATTTTCGAATATTTAACGTATAACTGATAGGACCTCTACTCTGACCTTGATAACTAACTCCAAGGTCATTTAAAGATCGAGTGCATTTATCGAATGATTTTGGAGATGGTAGAATGAAGATTCGGGCTATAGGGCCGTGGTCTAAGTGACCTACTCCGTCCAGACGTTTCGTCAGCTACTGCGGCTGACATCCTCAGTGGTAGTGCTGCGTTGACAACGTGAACGTAGATTATATCTCGAAGTCTCGGTAGCAACTGGGTGGCACCCAGCACTACCAGTGAGGATGTCAGCCGCAGTAGCTGACGAAACGTCTGGACAGAATAGTTCACTTAGACCACGGCCCTATAGCCCGAATCTTCATTCTACTATGGATTCCGGTCGTGAAAGCCTTTGTTCTTAGATTTTGGAGATAGTTATCAAGAAGTCACTATTGCGTGCTCCTTTTCAGAACCAATAACTTTTCCGTGGAACATTAGATGAGATGCTATTTTCATAGTTCAAATACATGCTACTTCTTGATCTCTTGCCTGGGAGAACTTTTGATCAGAAAATCGTTAAGAACATCATACTCCAATTGCATCAAATTTGACCAGAGACGATTTGTCATCGTTTATTCGAAATACTTATACATTTAAAATGTAAACACAACTTGCAAAATATCTATTTCTGTTTTACATTTAACGAAAATTTGTCACATTTGTCATTGAAGATATTTAGAAGTTTAAAAGGAGACCGAGAGGCATTCTATGAATGACTTCAACTGATGAAAGCGCAAAAAGTTCTGAAGTTTTTGTTAATGGATAATACGAAACATTGTGGCTGTTTTTCTGTGGTTTCATGGAATTTAGTGGTTGTAAACGTCGTGGCTTCTGGCATCAGCATCAGTTTCCAACAAGTTACCACTGAGAGTGTCTCACCAGCGAGGAACGACGACTCGAAAAACAAACTAAAAAAAAAAACTTAGGTGTTTCATTCCCACCAGCCACTAATGCTGATAGGGCGGAAGGCCATCTTCAGCCTCCTTTCAGGAATTGTGGGAATGGGTGGGTGGTGGTTCGGGTAGGAAAGATGAGACGGACGAAATGAAGACAGAAGAGAATGAAAGATTATCTGTGGAATATTACTGCCTCAGCATTTGCCTAAGTGATGCAAGGAAATCACAAAAAAAAAGACTTGGACCAAGGCAGATGGACCTGGAATCGAACCGGCGTCCTCCCGAACGCTAAACAATGGTCTAAATCTCTGGGCCATGTCGCTCGATCGGTGACTTGTTTGGAACTGCGAAATTCCACGATCGGGTTTTATGAAGTACTACAAGCGGCACAGTAAACGCCATCTGTAGTACCTACAATGCTACCTTCAATGGAATTCAATATATTCAACAAGATCCATTTATATTGCTTAACTGAATCTAAGGGGCAGCTCACCATACGTGGTTGGCACGTAACCAAATCGAAGGTAGAGTTGACCCGACTTCTGTCGAAACTGTTAACAACGCTCTGATGAGATCCAACAAGATCAAATCTACGATCCGCGTCTAGCAATTTTGCCAGAAGTACTGACACCGTGAACATGAAAATAATATCGAATTGATATACGTCAGTCGTAAAATCCTGAAAAGTTCAAGATATTGTGGTGCGCTAACAGAACAGAAATAATTGGAGTCTTTAAAACCGTTTCAAAAACTTCACCTATTTATGAGATGAACCTAAACCTAAAGAAGCTGTGGATCCTACATCTTTCTGTTATTACAATGCGTAAGAGATCAGAACGAAAATGGATTTCCAATTTTTTGTTTTTAATAAAAACATTAATGTTGGTTTTACATCAATAAAATTATTTACAATCCTGTACTTTCTGTGATCTTTTATGCTAAAGATGGCATCTTTGGCATTTTGGCATCATCATTTCATTAAAACAGATGTCAAAAGCAAATGTAGGACCATGTACAGGAATTGTTTATTGTTCAGCTAAGAGCACTATTACATAAAAATATCTCAATGTTCTTAGTAAACCACTATTGGCCTAAAAAAAGCTCCAATATTTTTCTGGAGATCGTAGTATGTCAAAAAATTTTTAAATTCATCTTTCAACTTACTAATTAAAGACTAGAGCGGTTGAATGCCTACTTTTACTGACGACAGGCATTGTGGGGAATATTATAAACTTAGAAAAGAGATGTCAGGTAGGAATTGCAGCGGACACTAATAAAGAAAATGGAATAACATTACACCAATAAATGTGTAACAAAAACAGATGTAGACAAGCAGAATTTGAGCATGTTGCCGGCATCGGACTTTATTGAAAGTTCGTTAGGAAAGCAAGACGCTTTTTTAAAGATATAATTCCAACCAGGCAGTTATAAAGCCGACCATGATCTTTTCTGCATACCTAAACAGCCTATAACCGCTGCACCGCTTACTATTATTCGGTTATCTCTTTTAACTTGGTCTGTACTCCTCATGAAGCATTTTCTAACTTAACAAGGACGTGTTTAACACGCAGCAAATGACTACAGTTCCAAGTGGAATCAAGTTCTTCTTCTGGAATCCGACACTACGCAGTCGTACGGACGGCTGGGTGTCTTTTGAAGATTTCCCCTTTTCCACGAAAACATAAAATAAAAAAAAGTGGAAACAAGAAAGAAGATGCGTCCATCTAACATAATATAGAGTATTGTTCAATTTCATTTACGAAATGACAATCATGTTCGTTTCTATTGCCTTACTGAGATGAAAAAAGTGCATTTTTTCTCTTTCGTGTAGGAACGAGAAAGTTTATTACTGTAAATGTGCTAACTGCGTTTTAGTCTGAAAGCTTTTCGAAGTCATTCCAACCGCTTTCTTGCCGAGTGGCTGCAGAGATAAAATTAAGACAATAATTACCAACATCCTCCCTGTGGCCGTCACTTCAGCTACCACAGAGTTAATGTTGGGACTTATTCAATGGCATTTACGATATATATATTAAGAATGTTATTCGCTCAATTATGTTGGCTACGATTAATGCTATATAATGCCTACCAACCCCGAAAATATTAAGTACGAAAAATCTTACAGTAACGTTGGAGTAAAATTGGTTAATCAATTATTTTTCATAAACTACCAATCTACATGCTATAATATTGATGAGATAACCATACCAAATAATTAAAATTCTATAGGATTTGAGGATAAATAAATATTTCCCTAAAACTACTAGGTATCATTCTATCACTTATAGATATCCAGAGAATAAAGTCAAAGGGAAACCTTTTTCCCAAAATTTAAATATTGGACGTATGACTTGGTTTTATTGGCGAAAATAATAATAATATTTTAATTTTTTATAGTCAAGTGGGACCAATTGTAGGTTCTGCTCTCCCATAAATTTCATGAAATTACTTTCAAAAACATATAATTTTGAATCGTTTGTTTTATTTTCTTTTGGTCACGTAGACTGATTCTTGTAAACATCCTGTCTCTAGTTCCGAAAATTCACAGGATTAAGTTATTTTGAGCCGAGGATCCGTTTTTACACGGCCCCGTTCACTGGAAAATCTTTGTTCACGCAGCTACAATAAAAAAATAGATCTTTGTAGGTGTCCATGAGACACACTTATAAATAAGACGTATCAGGTACTTGCAATCCAACATATTCTAAGAATTCTGCTTAGGAATTCGATGAAAATTACCTGGGCAAAGTTGTAATACAACTTGAACGCGTACCTCTAATACTTTTTCCTATCCTGAGCTAATCTTCGCATTTCCCTAAAACTAAAATCCACATCATTAAGTATTTGTGAACAGTAATCTAATCTTCATCTACCTCTATTCCTCTTAATTCCTGTTTTTCCTTCTAATATGTCTCACTAACTAGCCCTTCATGCCTAAGAAGCTGTGCTACCAACCTATCCCGACTTATATAGACTTCCATTGCGCTCTCTGTTCTCCTATTCTTTCTAATTCGTACATCCTCTGTTCTAACCTTCTCTATTCATGGTTTTCAGGCGCTTCTACTCTTTTCTTCTGCGCCGCACCCAACGCCCCTGTTTCGCATCCGTACAGTGCCGCACTCCAAACAATATTTTCGAATTTGTAAATTAACTGTTAGCGAGCATATAACTGCCTTCTTTTTGTTGAAGACGATTCGACTCTCTGTTTTATATCTTTACTGCTGCTTTCATTCTGAGTTATCTGACTTCCTAGGTACCGAAAATCAGACACTTTTTCTAATTTTTCGTCTCCAATATTTATATTTG